TAATAGTTATATTTTTAGTTTTTTTAAATTAATCGATCAAAAAATATATCCTATAAACAAAAAAGTTTTAATTATTGAGACAATTTTTTGAGTCAGTGTACATATAGTCAAAATTCTTTAAATATGTCCCAATTGTTGTGCGGGAAGATTCTGCACTCTCAGAAAGTTTAATAGCTAATATATACAAAAAAAATATAATTATCCTCCAGAATATATCGTTCAAGCTCACGTAATATTGCAGTTGTAATTTTTTTAGAGTGGCCATTACTCTTCCTATAAGAAACATCAACGGTTTTTTGGAGTTTTTTTTATATTATAGTTGATCCTCGATAGGAGAATGCTAATGGTTTTATGGAGTTCTATAGGGAATCATATTCTTTTGTACTAAAAATATAAAATAGTTTGTTATTGCAAAGTTAGTAATTTTACCACCATGTTTAAATGCGAACAAATGAAAATATACTTGCTATAAATAAAGATTGTATGCCTTAAAAGGTTAAATATAGTAATGTTGATTTGTTAGTCCCTTGATCGAAAATTAGTATATGTGTTGTAAGTTTATTTAACAAGAGTTCATTTATTTTCTTGACACCCTGTATATTATTGGAAATGCGCTAAAGGACATACAGTATTTGGTGTACATCATTTTATGTTATTCGAAATCATAATACCTGGTGTCCATATTGTAAAAATACAGTATGTATGAAAATTTATGTCGAGAAATATTATCAAAATATCTTGGGTCTCCATCAGCAAATCGTAGACCAGAATTTTTGAAAACTCCTAAAAATCCAAATGGATTGGAACTTGACATTCCCTATTATAATTATGGTTTTGCGATTGAAGTCCAGGGGCCTCAACATGAAAAATATCATGAATTCTTCCATAAAGGAGATCCCAATAATTTTATTAAACAGCAGGTTCGGGATCAACTCAAGAAAGAATTATGCGAAGAGAATTGGATTGCTTTAAGGTATGTTTGGTACTACGAAGACCCATATATAGTTATTCCGGAACATCTTCGAGAATTGGGTCTTATTGAATAGATTTAAAACTTCAAATGCCTTGCAATTCTGTCGTTATTATGTGCACACTTTTATATACTTTTAATGATAAATATTGGAATCGAAATAACGATATGATAAATCATATAGCCCTTACTTGTGGAAAAGTCGAATTCGTATGAAATCAAATTAACAGTTACGGACTTGAGATAAGTTTTGTTACTAACAACTAAGGGTTGTCAGGCTGTTGACGAATTTGAAAATATAGTAATAGACACATAATAATTATATATTATGTTACAATTATTGCTCTATTTGTCAATCAAAAACGTGGAATATTCGGTAGGCGACCTCCACGAACGAAATTTGTCACATCCATGTACGGCATAATCTGAATTGAAATTATTACGCTCCTTATGTGAGGATCCCCATTTGGAGAGGTTCCCCTCGCCCACGGTAATCTTCTGATTAAACGCACGGTATTTATCGCATGCTGAAGAAGACAACCACGTCTGTTGCGGAATGTGCTACACTGAATTCGAACAAATCCAAGTATGGACACGATTTCTCTATATTTGCTGACACTTGAACCAAACGAATCACTTATTGCTGTTGCGCCTAGGTCGTACTGAATGATCCAATTTCCACGGTACAAAAGGACTTCATGTGTGTTAGCCATGCTGAGCAAGTTTTCAGAGATGCGAATCCGATATACGAAAGTCATTACGTAACGCGAAATTAAATCACGTGAATGAAAATTTATTGGCAATTTTTCCGTTTTTTTTTTTTTTTCCACGTCTTTTGTGTTTGTCAAATTTTCTTAATGTCTCACGTCCAAGGAAAAGATAAAAGTGAGATTTTTTTGTAAATTTTTTATTACTTTGCTAAGTTATTTATATATGCTTATGGTTTGCACTAGATATTGGCGACATTTACAGAGAATCTCTAAAAGCATCTGAAGAATATGAAGCTTGTTTAACTACTACTATATATGGTAGTACTTATTTGGACCCAGAAAAATGTAAAGCTAGAGGTTTTGATCCAATCAAGTAAGTTATTTACGAAACTTTGTTTCTTTGATCGCTTTGTTAATGTGTCTCTTACTACAGAGCACTTGAGGAAGAGGAAGAAAGAATCAAGTTGTCCGGGGAATGGATTGAAAGAACAGCAGACGAGAAAGGATTTCGCGCTATGTTCCAAGAATTTATTGCTAATGCGTAAGCTGGCATCTTGTTGTTCTCAATGCAAAATGAAATCACAAGTAGAAACTAATGCCATCTCTTTTCATAGCCCGTCTGAATATGTAAATAAAGATCTGAAATTTCCGAATTGCTTTGATTACTTGGATGACTTCCCAAAGAAAGAAAATAAAGGAAATAAGAATTATAAAAAGCTATCAAAAAAGGTATTTAATCTACTTATGAAGTAATTGGTTTTTTGTGAAGGCGTTTTTGACTCTTCTTAAATTCAGAAAATTCGTTCTTTACTGGTCAAAGCTTCATATCTTGTGGATCATAAAATCAAACTTGAAGATAAACTCTATGTCAAGGTCGTTGCCGTAAAGATGAATAACGACGGTGTTTTTTTAGAGGTGGAGGAAAAAGCGGGGAATGAATTGGAATATTATGAAATTACGTATCAGCAAGATATGGTTGGATTATAATCCTTTTTTTTATTTTTATAGAAGTAACCCCTGATTGTGTAATGCTAAAATTGTCGAAAAATAAATTAAAAAAAAAATGCGCCAATCGGGCATAGCTTTATTAATGTTTTGATAATTATTAATGCGTCTAAGTAAAAAATGCATCTAAGGTCATTAATAGCTATCTTAGAAGAGGTGAATTTCTTGTATTTGATCTAGATAGACCTGAAGATGATCCACTAGCAATTCGTTTAATATTCGACACTCCACTTGATTTTACATAAGGAAATAGAATTGCGTCAAAAGAAAAAAATAAATAACATCAATACCGTATATTGCATTCACTGGATCACGTGATACGATCTACATATCTTTTTTTTTTTTTTTTGTTTTTTGAAGTAGAGAACGATCTATAATACTTTGGATTTGGGTACCAGTCAAATTCGAAATAGCATCCGCACTATATGATTTAACCCGATTGATTTTTTTATCCCTATTTTCACAAACAGTCTGTATATATTTCTCGCTTTCTGGGTTTTCTTATACTCGACTCCTAGCTGCTGGATCAGTAACTGCTCTATCTTTAGATCTAATCTCTATAACCCTATTTTCGAATCCTTCTGCATACTGATACCAACATAAAAATTCTTCTTGATTAGCCTTTATTACACGCGCTCCCGCACGACTCGCTTTTTGATACAACCGAGCTAAACTTTGTGATGTTGACTCATCGACATCCCCACCTGTTTCAACGTTATTTTCGTCAGGTTCCCCCTTGATAGGAGAAGATAATTCTTTCAACAAACCTTGATGAACGGATTTTTGTTGTATTACTTGCATTTGACTGATCCTCAGAATTGGTGGGTTCTAACTGCTTCGTAGGGTCTTGCATAATATATACGTTGGTAGTATTTTCATTATTCTCGTTGGTTTGATTTTCCAGCTCCTCCTGTCTCCTCGATTACAATAGGGCTTGTAGCCTGATCTTGCATAGAAACGATATTATCCACAGTAGGAATCATTGTTTGATCCTCCTTACTAACTTCCTTAGCTGGAACGGACTCCTCTTCTATCAACCCATACTTCGCATAATTTTCAATCCCCCATCATCATCGTCGATGGTTACATTAGATTGCTGGGAGGATTTCCTCCTTTTTCCTTCCAAGTTCGGAAAAAGATATGTAGTTAATTATGCATTGAGATTCAATCAAAGATAGGCTAATGCCAGAAAAAAAATAATCCATTTAATATCTGGCTTCGAGCACTTACTGCGGGAAGGCGGGGTGCCAGAAAACAATCACCAGAAGCAAGCCCAAGTTCCTCTCTAATATCAAAAGTCAAGTTTTTGAATAAAATAGTTTATAAACAAGAGAAAAAAGGAAAAATAATTCTTGAAGTCATACTTCAAGTTGTTTTAATAAAAGTATTAAGACTTTATTAACAAGGAAATAAAAAAACTTCTTGCAAATATTTTTTTTGTATGTGATCAAAAAATCAGTGAAAAAAGTTTGATTAAAAAAATATAATAAACTATTTATAAAGATTTTTATTACAATAAAAAAATTTTATATTTCTTTTCACTAGTTATTATAGTTTTTTAAAAAATTTTGTTTTCACAGTTTTTTGAAGAATTTTATCTATCTCAATTTGATTTTAAATTTTTAAATAGTACAATAAAATAAAACATATTAGTTTTGAAATATAAACAAGCTTTTGTTTATTTTATTTATATATTTTGATAATATAATTGATAAATAAAAAAAAATTATAGAACTATAAAAAACTTTTTCTGCTAATTTTCTAACTATATATAAAAAGATATTCATAAGAAGTTTTTATATTTCTTGTTAATAAAATCTTTTTTTTCTTTTTTTAAAATAACTTAAACTTGTCTTCAAAAGTTACTATTACTCTTTCTTATTTATTTACAAACTCCTTCAAACAAAAACTTGGATTTCTGGTGATCTAAATAAACTTAAGTATATATTTTTTTACTAAAGACAAGAAGGTTCTAGGAAATAAAAGAATTAACTTATAAAATATCATCTTTTAGAGCTAGAAGCAGCATGGAGATAGAGGTTTTCTAGGTAAAAAAAACTTATTATCTATCTTCTCATATACTATCTCTTTTTCTCCTAAAGTATTTATAATTTTTTATGGTTTTTTTGAGAAATTTTGCCTATCCCAGAATTTCTGGTAACATAATATTACCTGGCTTCTAATTGACTGATATAAAACATGCTGGTAGCAAAATATAAATAAATTTTTATTAACTATACACACATATTCTAATAATATCATTAATATGAAATTCTTCATTTCTTCAAATAAAGTATAACTGAAATAAAGAAATCATGAAACCATTAAAATAAATACTAAATTCTCTAATTAATGAAAAAACAATTATTTATTCAAACCAAAATCTTCAACTTCTTATCATTTCAATCAAACAAAATACACAAAGAAGATTATTTTCTTATTCTAATTAGGCAATAACATTAAGAAGCAAAAAATTGTGAGCTATTACCCTTCTTTAGAATTAAAAATACATTTTTTCAAATATTGTATAATAATATTATAATCAAAAGTAATTCCTAGTATTCTATAATATCCTCCCACTATTACAAGACAAAAAGATTATTTGAAAATCTAACTTTTTAAGCAATAGAATATACTTATCATCAAAATTTCTTTAACTAGATATGGCTGCTAAAAGTTATTAAAAGTTACATAATATAATTAAAACACTATATAAGAACTTGAGATTCACTATAAGCTATTCTATTTTACACAAATAGATACAAAATTAATATTAAAATAAAGAAAGTGTCAAGCAAAATACTAAATCCAAATAGACAATAAATATTTCAGATAGTTATAAAAAAATAATCAAAATTATAGATAGATACTGTAGATTTATTAGATAATTAAGAAGAAAAAAAATATTTCAAAAGTATTAATTCTAATGAAAGAAAATTTTTAGTAAAAGTTTTTTAGAGAATATAAAGCACTTTTATTTTATTTTTATTTTTTTCTTCATGTCCATACATTTGTATATTTTTAGATATTTTCTTTTTTTTTTACTTTTTTCTATTGTAGAATTAGTTTCTTGTATAATAATAAATAGCAATAATCTGCTGGTAATAATAGATAAGTTAAAAGAATTTTTATTCAAAACTTATTATAAAATAAAAAATATATATATTTTTTTTATGAAACACGTATTAGTCAGTTTATTTAATTATTAAGTTCAGGTACAGGAGAGATATAAGCAATTTGTAAAACTATATACCCTATACTATTATAACAAACAGTTTGTCGACTGGCTCACTTTGACTAATAATTAACAACTCAAGCTAACCTAGTATACACAAAGTTTCACTAGTGTGTTGTATTAGTAGGAGCAGTGGAGCAAAATTGAAGGATAAGAGAGGTGTATGAGATCTATATGTGAAGCTATGTCCCAATGCATTATCAGAATTTCAAAAACCTCCTATAAAAAGAAATTACTGAAAGAGATTTGATCCTAGGGTGGAAGTTCTGACCAATGTATTGTTTGTACTTGGTATAAGGAGTGTCTTGATAAACTTCAGAATGGGTTCGCTTCGATAGAAATATGTGTTTTGTATACTTCTAATTACTTTGCAACTTATATGGGGGAAGAAACTGTCACTCAGTCCATGAATGCCTTATCAAAAACCATGTGGAAAAAGTACAATAAGACCTGTTTCTCCTTTTATATTCTCCAGGATTAAGCCAACTTCATTGGTTTTTAATTATGATAAAGTTTTCCACTTGAGGTCAAGGTGCTCCATTTATCTTTAACTATGATCCTCGGTGATACAGGGAACTCAAATCATGTCCCTTGGTGAAATTACTTTCCAGCCGGTTTTCAACTATATCTATAAGTTAACTACTGACACTAGGTAGGAAGGGGTGAATTCTTTAGGTCATTCGTTTATCTAGTCACTTTTGTATAAGGGAGGGGAAGGAAACTCAACTATAGTATGAACACTACTCCTTTCGATATTGCTATCTACCAGAGGTGAGGAGTTCAATCTTCATGAGAAGAAGAGGTTGGGAAAGGGGATAGGTATAGCTATATAGATTGATTCACTGTATCACGTAGGGTCTTATAATGAAGTAGAAAAATATATGCTAGGCCTTTATGTTTTAAGAGCTGAGCTAATTGAAAGATGATGACTGACCAGTTTCTTTGACTCTTCCATGGGACGTTCACTGATATAGGAGTTGATGGATATTACTTGTAAATTCTTGACACATTAGTCCTCTTCTTATAAAATCTAGGGATAGCAATAAACTATTTAGTGGATTATGTTTTGTCATGTCTCTAAGGAATACCAAAAGTGATCTATAGATAATATAGTTAAAAAATTCTTTTTACTCAATGTTATTTTTTGTTTTATTTTAATAAGTAAAATATCTACACTAGATAGTTATATAATTATCTTATCTTGGTTGAGTGAGATATAAATAGTTTGCTCTTTGTATTATTCATTAATCTATAAATTCTTAGACAATACAAGTAATTATTCATCCCAGTTGTCTCTAGATATCTTCTTGCTTTAATAAAATATATTCATATTAGCATAAGGATAAGTTAGCATTAAAAAAAATTTGTATTTTATTAGAATTAAATTAACCAGTATTTTTAAGAAGTAATGTATAAAATGTAATTTATATAATTAATAATATTATTAAAAATACTAAAAACTACAATAAATAAACCTGAATTTTAAGTTAAAATATATTTAAGTCATATAACTTAATTAATATTAAAGATGTCATAACTAGCCCTATAATATATTAAAATTATATTACAAATTTTAAAAATTCTAATTAATATCTTTGAAAATCAAATAAATTTTATTATTATATACTATAAACTCTTAAGACTCATAAGAGATATAATATTAGATAGTATAAATCAAAGAAACAACATCTTTTTATTGCTATAAAAATTTTTTATAATTTTTTTCTATATATAATATAATTAATATATAAAAGTCTTTTTTTTTTAAAAACACTTATTAGTCAGTTTATTTGATTATGAAGTTCAGGTACAGGAGAGATGCAAGTGATTTGTAAGACTATATACCCTACACTATTACAAATAACAGTTTGCCGTGTGGCCCAC